TGTGACGCGGCTGCGTGCGCTGCAGACTACGCTCACACACGGTGCGTCCGTGAACTGTGACCGCTGTGCCTCGTCGCTCGCCACCATGTATGATCCCATCATCGTTTTCTGAACCGGAATCGCAGGAGGAGCGTCGACGTGTAGGGAGGCGTGCCAGCTCCTCGCGTGTGGCCACATGCTGTGCGGCGGCTGCTGCGCGCATAGTACACCGGTGTGTCCTCTGTGTGCCCGGCCGAGCCCGTTTCCGCTCAGCGCCGTGCCCCGTTTGCGCAACCCGACATCAGGCAGCAAGTTTGATGTCATTGTGGATGAGATCGCGTCGCTTGAAGACGAAGCGACGACCAAGTGCATTGTCTTCTCGCAGTGGCCCGAGGCCTTGAGCCTGCTGCAGACGGCGCTATCGGCCAAGAACATTGCGAGCCTCCACCTCCAGCGCACGAGTCAGACCAGCTTGCGCGACGAGTTTCATTCGAATCCGAATGCCCGCGTGTTGCTATTGCCACTGAAAAAGTACAATCACGGGTGCGCACATGTCATCATCATCCACGTGGACAACTTGTCTGATGGGACGCGGACGTGCTAGGCTCAATCTGGTCGAGGCCACCCATGTGTTCTTGGTCGAGCCGACCTTTGAGCCGGCGCTGCAGGAACAAGCGATGGCGCGCGTCCAGCGCCTGAGCCAAACGCAGACCAGCTACGTGCACCGGTGCGCAGCACGCAAAACGATCGTACTAGTGCGAAGATGCGTTGACCTAGGTATGTCATGGCCGCGACGGTCGAAGCAAGAATGTACGAGTGGACGAGTCGCACGCAGCGCTTGACGCAAGACGACATCTACCGCGTCTTCACCAGCGATGTCACGTCGCCTAGCTAGCCGACCGCTGCTCGTTTCGTCAGCAATCCAGCAACAAGAAGAAGAAGAATGCAGTCTATAGTTTGGACGGACGGTACCGAAACTAGCGCATCGGGTGCCAGGACCGCGTGTCGATGGGCTCAAAGCTCGCATAGCGTGCTTGCCCTTCATCTGGCAGGTTGTTCTGGGCGCAGTAGGCGGCGTATGCTTGCCAGAGCACCGTCGCCGCCGCCTCCGGTGTACTCTGCAGCATATCTTGCTCCATGAGGTACCGGTGCGGCGGCACGTAGCTGAGAAAGACGTCAGTGCCATGGTCGCAGAACGCTTAGCACTTGGCGTGGGCAAAGCAGTTGGAAATAAGTCCGGGACGCAAGCTGCACACTCGTAGATGCGACCGGTTGGCTGTCGGTAACACGCCCGGCAGACCTCCTCTGGCCACGCTTCGGACGCGAGCTCGTTGTCCTTGAAGAAGTGTCCATGCCTTCTCGTCTCTTGGATCGTACGCTCCAACTGTCGGGTCCAGAAGGAAGGGCGATGTCACCGCGTTGGTCGTGAGCGGGTCGTCAGCTGGGAACGCTTCTCGGCACAAGGCCTGCGCGGTCTCGAGGTAGTACTTGCTTGGTGCGGACGTAGCTGCCAGTAGAGACATACAAGAGGAAAAAGGCGTAGGCTGGCGGCAGTGGCTGTCGCTGGGACCGCGAGGCGGCGACGAGCAGGATAGCTTGGGCTCGCTTCCAGTGACCGAGGGCGACGTCGTCGATCGCAATGTTGGAAAGCGCAATGATCGCGTGTGCATGCAGCGCGCCATGCGTACGCTCCAAGGCCGCGAGGTTCTCGGAGAAGACGGCCCGGGACGCGCGAAACTTGCCTTGGACGTTGTAGATCGTCGCCTAGAAGCCGCGCGAGTTGAGCTTGAGCGTGTCGGCGTGGTCGGGTCGGAGGAGCGTCCACGCACGGGCAGAACGCAGCGGCGTCAAAGTCGCCGAGGCCGTAGCTGGCGCCGCCCAGCCTGGACGTGGCCGAGATCATCACCCAGTGTGCTGGGCCAAAGTACGTCTTGCGACAGAGATCGCGAATCTCTGCGTCCTGCTTGAGGCTGTGCAGCGCGTCTGCGAACGGTCATCGGATCGAGGCCGTCCATGGCCAAATGCTCTTGGACGAGCGGTCGTCTCTGGATCGCCTCGTATGGCGCGCGCAGCGCCCACATGGAGCTAGGCGCATTTGCGTACCTGTTGGCGAGACGCACGTCCCGGCGTGCTTTCTCCATCGGCGAGAGACGTGAAGAGGCGATCTGCGCCACCAGTGTCCGCTTCATCCAGTCGGTGATCGTTGAAAAGACGCGTTGATCGACGCTGTGAACGACGTCTCGGTGCGGATGAGCTCAACGATGCCGTCACTTGCCACGGTTGTCTCGGACGCCTCGCTCATGATCGTCCCCAGCACATCCTTGAGCGCCGTTGGGCGAAGCATATCTTGGATGAGAAGGTCTAGTTGATAGGGGCCATCGCCATCTCGAACCGTGCCTGCATCGTCCCAGCGACGTCCACCTCAAAGACGCACCAGCTTCGACGCAAGACGATCGGGTCATCCCATGGGTACATGATCATGACGACGTTGCCGATGGCTACGAGCTGCGACTTGAAGGTCGTCGACCAGTACTCGAACGGGTACGAGTGCGCGAGGTGCTGGTTGTTGTTGAAGACGCAAAACCACAGGACCGCTTCGTCAGCAAGGCCTTGGCCGGCGAAGAAGGTGTCGAGGCTGTCGACGGTCTCCAAGAAGAGATAGCTCCACGCATGGGAGACGTACAATTGGCCTTGAACACAATATGGCGCGTGGTCGCATCGTTGGCGATGTGGTCAACGAGCGAGAGCTCGGTGGACTTGGTCAGTGGCACGATGTGGTCGAAGCAGACCTGGGCGGTGGTGCGACCGTTGAGCTTCTTGCGGCCGCCGCAAGCGTCGAGGAGGTGGTGGAAGTAGCGCAACGAGACGCCGAGCGGGCTCGGGGGCGATGTGACCATGAAGCCAGCGGAAGCACTTGGATCAAAGTTGGTGGTGTGTGTGACGATGCCACTCAAAACGCCGTATCCGGATGAGCTCAGTGGCAATCGGCCAATCAACGACGCGAATCATGGCATTAGATCGTGGAGGCGCGCCATCATGACACGCGAGGTCTCCCACGCCTTCGTCTCAAGTGCACCATGGTTGCCCTTCATAAATATCCTCCATCGTGCTGAGCCTAGTCTGGATTATCGTCTACTAACTATGTTGTCGAGGAGACCATGTACGAGTTTTGTTTGACGACATGAAGGCAGAGTAGAATATTCCAATACGCCACGCACATTGGGATGTGGTTAGGCGTAGAGATATTTTTCGTTGGCGACCCATTCGAGACCCGTCACGGGCGCACGACCTGCGGCGGCTTCGACGAGGAGCATGCTCAACGAGTCGCTTCGGGGCGTCCGGCGCTTGGCGATTTCGAACGGTAGCTCCATCGCGGACGTCGGCCACAGACCCACGGACGATAGCTTCCATTGTCGGGCTATCGATAGCAAATGCGGCAAAACGACGTCGAAAACGTCGGCGCCGAGGGCGCGGTACTTGAGCACGTCGAGCTGGTCGTCTTCGAAATTGTAGGCATAAAGCACATACCCGCGCAGCTCGTTTGTCGCAAGGTCGCGCACACAGAGCCCGTACGACGTCGGGAGATCGGCGAGGCCCAGGCGGTGCGTCGCAAAGTACTTGTATTTGGCGTGAAAGTACGCAATGTACTCGGCCGTGAGAAGAAACCCGACTTGACCTGGCTGAAGGTCCGCTTGCATATCAGCTTGGTCGCGGGCGGCGATGGCGGTGAGGACGTCCATCGAGTCGATGACTGTGAGAACGACCGGTGCCGATGCTGCGACGGGAACGAGCGAAACGTCAAAGTCGGCGGGGAGCACAATTTCGTCGGACGGGTGCGGCGACCACCCGTTCGCCAGATAGAGCTTGGTGCCAATGTCCGAGTACAAGTTGGACACGATGTAGTCGGATCGCTGGCGCGCCAAGAAGGCCTGGAGTGTGATGGCACCGTAGCCTTTTCGCCGATGGTTCTCTGGCGTGAAGAGTGACGCGACGCTAAAGGCATCCACGCAAATGGGCGCAAGCGCAGTGGGCGGCCAGAGGATGCAGCGCTGCGCAAAGACCTCCAGGTACCCGCGCAGGTCGAGCGTGCTGTGGTCCGTTGTGGGCACCAAGACGTAGTCGGTCACGAGCGTCTGGCCAAACTCGGAGGCGCGGAATTGCACTTCGCGCTCGCGGTACTCTTCAAAGGATACGGTTGGCGCACCCCACTCGGGGTACGTGAGCACACTCACTTGATGGCCTTGGGCCGCGGAGCCTTTGCGCAGTTCCATTTTCGTGGCCTGTCGACTGACAGGCTAAACGCACGCCATTTCACCAATGGTTTTTAGCCAATCCCATGTGCGCCTTTTGAAAAGCGGGATTGTATTGGCTACTTTTCTAGCCAATCCCGCGCCACATACGTGGCCAGTTGTGTTGCTGGCAAAACGACGGAGACTCGTTTGACGGATATATATGAACGTGTTTCGTATTATCTTGTCAGGCGGTGTATTACCGGGATTACCACTATGGGTTTTTCTTTTTCTATGTGGTCCATCGTCAAGCTACTTGATCGACCAGCAGCGTCCGCAGTCGTGAGCCAGACCCGTCGTGTTTCGTATTATCTTTGTTGTTACAAAGAGTTTGCATACGTAAAGCCTAGCAATCTCCTTTTTCTTCATTTGCTCGCCGGGCCGTGGCTGCGCAGGCGGCGGCGCAGGGGCTCGTCTTGCTCTCCTCTAGTCGCCCGGGGGCGCTTGACGGATAGATACTGAAGTTGATTGCAACGACTTTAGTACGTCATTCATGGCATTCTAGGACACGAGTGATCTACGCGTAGAGGTAGAGCTCGTCCGCAACCCACTGGAACGGTTTGGCGCTATTCGCGTCGTCTTCTGGGCCCGCATGATTGCCTTGCACGAGCAGCATCGAGAGCGAGTCGTCACGGGGGCGCGCAAGTGCTCGTATGGATTCCGGCAAGGCCATGTCTCTCGTTGGCCAGAGGCAAATGTGGTCCAAGCCCCAGGCCGCGGCCTCGGCATGTAGCGTCGGCCCAAACGCTGCAAACACGTCCGTAGCGTCGTCGAGCGCCCGAAACTTGAGCACATCGAGCGTCCTTTCTTCAAAGTTGTACGTCCAAATGACGTAGCCACGGATAGTACCCTTCTCTTGGAGGTAGGCGCCGTAGTTGGTTGGAAGTGTCGTCATCTGGTGACGGTGCACGCCGCAGTAGCGGTGCTTGACGTGGTAAAACTCAATGCAGTCGGTCGTGAGCAAAAAGCCAACCTCGCCAGCGCGCAGAGTCGCGATCATCGCCGCACGGTCCAGCGCTGCAATGGGCTCGAGCGCTGCAAGCGACGTAATCAACACGAGCGACGCGTCGTATTCTGGCAACGTTGTCGCGACGGGCAGCAGGATTTCGTCCGAGGCGACAAGGTCCCAGCCGCACTTGGCATAAAACGACGTTCCGACGTCCGAGTAGAGGTTCGAGACGAGGTAAGGCAACGCCTTGCCC